CTTTTTCTCTTGCTCCCCCTCCCCCCCCCCCCGCCCCATAGATATTTCCTCTTTGTCCTTCTTTTTTCTGCTTATTTCCCTTTTTTTTTCCTCTGGAGAAATGTCTATTCAAGTCCTTTATCCATTTTTTGATTGGGTAATTGGTCAATTTGTTGTTGAATTATGGAAGTGCTTTATGTATTCTGGATATTAAATTATTATCAAATATTTAATTTTGATGAAGTCCAATGTATGTTTTTTTCCTTAGTTGTCTTTCACAACTGAAAGAAATATCTAAGAATCCATTGCCAAGTACAAGGCCCTGAAGATTTATCCCTATATTTTCTTCTAAGGGTTTTAAGATTTTAGCTCTTACACTTAGGTCATTGATCTTTTTGACTTAGTTTTCTTACGTGGTGTGACATAGTGGTCTCACTTCATTCTGCATGTGGAAATCCAGTTGTCCAGCACAATTTGTTGAAGAGACTATTCTTTCTCATTGAATGATCTGGACATCCTTGTTGCAAAACAATTCACCATAGATGTATGGGTTTATTTTTGAACATTCAGTTACATCCCATTGGTCTTTGTGTCTTCCCTTATACCAGTACCACACTATTTTCATTACTTTAGTTTTGCAGTACATTTTGAAATCAGGAAGTGTGAGTCCTCCAAGTTAGTTTTTTTTCAAGACTGTTTTGGCTATTTAGGACCCCTTCCAATTTTTATGAACTTGAGGATCAACTTTTCTACTTCTACAAAAAAAAAAAAAAGACCATTGGAATTTTGATAGGTATTATATTGAATCTGTAGCTCACTGTGGGTAGTATTGACATCTTGACATTATTAAGTTTTTCAGTCAATGAAAATAGAATGTTCTTTCATTTATTTAGATCTCTTTTCATTTCTTTCAGGAATGTTATATAGTTTTCACTGTACAAATTATTTCACCTCCCGGTTGAGTGTATTCCTAGGTAGTGTATTCTTTCAGATGCTATTGTAAATGGTATTGTTGGCTTGATTTCCTTTTCAGATGTTTCATTACTGTTATATGGAAACCCAACTGATTTTTGCCTGTCAAACTTGTATTCTTTGCCGAATTCATTTATTAGTTCCCTAATGATATTCTCATGGGTTCTTAAGGGATTTTTGTATATATATAGTATTAAGTCATCTGTGAATAGAGATAATTTTACTTTGTCTTTTCTGATTTACTTGCCTTTTTTCTTGCATAATTTCTTTGGATACACCTTCCAGTGCAATGTTGAATAGCAGTGATGAAAGTGGGCATCTTGTCTTGTTCCTGACTTTATAGGGAAAGCTTTCAGTCTGCTGCCACTTCATATGATGTTATCTGTGGGTGTTTTTGTAAATGCCCTTTATCTTGTTGAGGAATTTCCCTTCTACTCCTAGTTTGTTGAGTGGGTTTTTTTTTTTTTTTTTTTTTTTTTAATCATGAAACGGTGCTGGAGTTTTTCAAATTCCCTTTCTGCATCAATTGAGATGATCGTGTTGTTCTTTTACTTCATTTTATTATTATTGTGTATTATATCGATTGATTTTCATATGTTGAACCATCTTATATTCCTGGGATAAATCCCACTTGTTCATGCTGTATAATCCTTTAAATGTGCTATTGGATCAGTTTGCTAGTATTTTATTGAGGATATTTGTATCTATATTCATAAGGGATATTGCTCAGTAATTTTCCTTTCTTGTGATGTCTTTATCTGGCTTTGGTTTTGGGGTAATACTTGCCTTATAAAATGAGTTAAGAATTGTTCCATCCTCTTCTATTTTTTGGGGAGATTTTTAAAAGGATTGGTGTTAATTCTTCTTTAATTATGTGATCTATTTCAACATTAAAGTCATTTGGTTCTGTGCTTTATCTTGTTGGGAAGTTCCTTCAGTTCCTTCACTAGTTACAGGTCTGTTGAGATTTTCTATTTCTTCTGCAGTCAATTTAGATAGTTTGTGTGTTTTTAGGAATTCATTTATTTCACCTAGATTATCTAATTTTTGATGTGTAATTGTTTATTGTATTATCTTATAACCCTTTTAATTCACTTGTGTTTTATGGACAGATGGAACCTCGGAGTGTGTTCACTTCCAAATTTATGAACATTTAAGCTGTTAGATCCTTCTAGTGTGGAATATCAGGCTTATCTTTGCTCTGAAGAGGGCTATCCTATGAATTCCTTTGGTCTCAGGACCAAAGGAATCTGACAGTCAGCCTAGACAATGTTCTGCTATGTGACCATGGCTCAAGAACACATCAGAGCCAATCATGTTTATGTATCTTTAACTCCTGTTAATCAATGTGGCAACTGTGTGAAAGGATCGTGAGAAAAATGTTAGCATGAGCTTCATTGTTCTATTAGAAAACATACATGATGGTGGATCAAAGTGGACAAGGGTAGGAATTTAAACATGAAAAATGCCTAACACTTAACACTTGTGATGTGTATCTCAAGTGTCTTAGGGCATGTAGTAAATACCTATGATTTGAGATGACATGTGGTAAATACCTATGATTTTTTAAAAAGTGTGAGTCACTTATCACATTGAAAATGGTATTGTAATTCTGCAGTATGCTTGTTTGAAAACAAAATTGTACTAGCAAGCTCAAATTATTATAAATATGTGTGACGTGAAAACCTGGGTCACTGAATACAGTCATGTTTCAGAAGTGCTATGAGGTGCTGTGGCTGTATTAATTGTGCCACTCTAAAGATCAACTCTAATAACAAGATGTTGTCATTTCTTTTTTGAAATTATTTAATTAAAAAATAAATGAATCTAGAGAATATATTATTCATACACTTTTACATAATCATGTAATTTCTCTGTCCCAGTGGATTTTCAATGTAATTTTCCAAAACAAGTGAAGTAATTAAGGGTTTGTGTCCCAAATAACCTAAATATTACTTAAATATGGTTTTGTGGCACAGTAACAATTCATTGGAGCCTATCCCTATTATTGCAATGGATGTATCAGTAGGGCACACTTGCTTTTTATTAATAACACAGAAATATTTGATTCTTCTATTTGTACCATAATTTACAAGCTGATTATTACAAGCAATCTATTAATAACTGAACATCTGTTTGTTGCCTAAAACAGTGCTTGGTGTTTTTACCTCCAATGTATCATTTAATGTAAGAATCACATGAGGTATGTATTATTATCCCCCTTTTACAGGTAAGGAAATAGAAACTCAGAAGATTTTTGTAACTTGTCTAAGATCCCTCAGACAGCAAGAGGCAGGAGTGGCAACTGATTCCAAGTCTATATGGCTCAAAAGCCCAGGATTTTTCAGCACATCACTTTGCCTTCCATGCTGACACTCATATCCAACTTTGAATTCATTTGTATCCTTCATACATCTATTTAAAAATATAATTCATGTCTTATTTGAATCTGTGCTGGTTTGGTAAAGTCCCTGAACTATCCTGTGCCTCATTACAAAAGTCAGAACTTAAGAATTCACACACATAATCTTAGTACTGTTCATAATATGGCATTTTGATGATTCACATGCAACAATGACTGATTTAAAATTATAAAGAGCCAAATGTGGTAGCATGCTTGGCTAAGAGCATGATTGCTGATTATTGCATATGTCTGTATACTTCACATAGAAATTTTTGAAGAAATAGTAAGTTATTCTGAAGAATAGGTTGCTCCTTAGTTTAAAGGGATCATGGGAATAATTATGATTTTTTTTTTTCTATGCTTAATTGTATGCTCTGCTTTGAACACAGGAACCATTATTCTGTAATGCTAATTTATCTTTCAATCTAATTTCCTTGCTTTAGAGTGGTTACTTCCATTATTACCTCCCTTAGCATCCTCAAGTGCCCTCACTTACATCCCTCAACTCACTGCCATTGAGTTGGATCTGACTCATAGCGACCACTCCTTGGGTTTCCAAGGCAGTACCACTACAGAAGTAGATTGCAAGCTTCCTTCCGAGGAGTGGCTGGTGGGTTTGAACCTCCAGCCTTCTTTCTGGTTGGCAGTCAAATGCCTTAGGCACTATGCCACCAGAGCTCCTTCTTATGTCCCTACAGTTGCTTACTAGAATTCATTAAACTAAACATACTTAATGTAGATCCTCAAACATTTCCATTCATTTTCCATTTAATCCTAGTCCATAAAAATACCTAGACTCTTCTTATTGCTTATTTAATCCCATAAATATGAAAAGGTGTGGTGTAAGAGATAAGACTTGTTGGAGTTTGCAAAATATGCAAGATGTGTACCTCATAACAATAATAAAAATTCTATTTGGCATTTTCAGCATGGATGTAGACATCTTCTAATCTTTAGTATCAGTAATTATAACTAAGGATTTTTTTTTTTTTTTAAAGTCCAGGAAAAGTAGCAAGTAAGAAAAAGAGGAAATGTCAAAGTTAACTGTATGTTCATTGGCCCAATCAACTGGATAGATGGAATAGCATTTACTAAGATAGAAAACACCGGGAAAGAAGCACATTTGGAATGCATGTGGAAAATCAAGAGCTGGCCTTTCTAAAAACATTTAGCTTATTTGCAGTTTTGTATTACCATCAATGCTTATGTGAATATCCTTTATCTCCTGTATACCTGGGGAAGACTTTCTCAAAGACTAGAATAGGTAGCGTAGTGCCTAAGGCACTTGACTGTTAACCAGAAGGCTAGCACTTCAAACCTAGCAGCCACTCCTTGGAAGGAAGGTTGGGTAATCTACTTCCTTAGTGATAACCACCTTGGAAACCCAAGGAAAGGTCGCTATGAGTCAGGTCCAACTTGATGGCACATAACAACAACAACAGCAAGGTAACTGAGTGTTCAATTTAAAAATGTTATTAAGTTTGAAAAGATTTGTGTGCATGATGTATCCCACATAACTGAGGTGAAGGTACCATTTAAAATTTTGATTATGGTTATTTTTAAGTATAGACTTCAATTGTGGGGCAATTTTAGCCAATTTAATCTTCTCTGGTTCTGGTTTCAATAGGCACTGTTAAATGGATAGATGGAGACAGAAAACCATACAAGAGTGACAGAAGTCATTATTTTGGGGTTAACAGATAATCCTACGCTATGTGCCATCTTCTTTGTGGTATTCTTAGTAGTCTATATAGTTACCGCAATAGGCAATATCAGTATAATCGTCTTAATCCGAAGCAGCCCTCAGCTTCACACCCCAATGTACCTTTTTCTCAGCCATTTGGCCTTTGTGGACATCGGGTACTCCACATCAGTCACACCAATCATGCTCATGAGTTTCTTAAGAAAGAGAACGACTATTCCTGTCACTGGCTGTATAGCCCAACTTGGCTCTGATGTCACTTTTGGTACTACAGAGTGCTTCCTGTTGGCTGCTATGGCCTATGATCGCTATGTGGCCATCTGCTCTCCCCTGCTCTACTCCACCCAAATGTCCCCAGTGATCTGCTTTCTCCTACTGGGGGCTTCCTACGTGGGAGGATGTATGAATGCTTCATCATTTACTGGATGTTTGATGAACTTGTCCTTCTGTGGACCAAATAAGATCAACCATTTTTTCTGTGACCTTTTCCCACTCTTGAAGCTCTCTTGTGGCCATGTTTATATTGCTGAAATATCTCCTGCTATCTCTTCTGGGTCAGTTCTTATAAGCACACTGTCTACCATAATTGTATCCTACATCTATATCCTCCATTCAATCCTGAATGTGCGTTCCACTGAGGGGAGGAACAAAGCATTCTCTACTTGCACTTCCCACCTCACTGCAGTCACTTTGTTTTATGGGACAGTAATGTTTGTTTATGTGATGCCTAAGTCAAGCTATTCAGCTGATCAGGTTAAAGTGGCGTCTGTGATCTACACGGTGGTGATACCCATGTTGAACCCTCTCATCTATAGTCTGAGGAACAAGGAGGTGAAAGAAGCCATGAGAAAATTGATAGCTAGAAAACATTCATTTTTCTGAATTAAACTAGTGGTGAGTCCATAAATTATAAAAATAGTGATTGAAAGAATATACGTGCGTATATTTTAAAGATCTTTATTATTAAATTGATCACATTTATTTTGTAAATATATTTTTAAAAACAACAACAACTCACTACCATCGAGTCAGATCCAATTCATAGCTAGCCCTCCTTGGGTTTCTGAGGCAGTATCACTGTGGAAGTAGATTGCCCCATCTTCCTTAATCTTTCTTCTGAGGAGTGGCTGGTGGGTTTGAACCTCCCGCCTTCTGGTTAGCAGTCAAATCCTTTAGGCACTACACAACCAGAGCTCTTATAAAAGCCAGTGTTAATTTCCATTTATAAAGTAAGTGTGCCATTTTCATGAACATTGGCTAGGATCAAATTAAATGCAGATTTTTCAAGTTAAGAATACCTCCAGAAAATAATTTCTACTTAAAAGCTCCTTAACTAACCAATCACAGAGTCTGTGGAAATGGGGAACAGTGGAACTTTTCAATAATAGCTGGAAGGCAGGAGGCATGAAATTATGGTTCACTACATGCATGCTGATTCAGGCAAAGTATATACTTGCCATACATTTCTGTAATGTCTCTCAAAGAAGTGGTCATTGTCCCTGCCTCTACTACCTTTTTTGTAGAGGCTTAATGATCCAGTCTGGTTATTGCAATTGCCTCTAAATTGATTCCCTGCCTCCTATATCTCTTCTGCAATAATTTCTGATTAATATTTTAATTAATATGTTTTTATAACTAGCATAGTAATAATGCAGTGTAGTAAATCACATAATATGGCTTTTCTAGCCATAGTCTTTGTAAACTCCATGATGGAATTTGCCATTAGCAACTGAGTAGTTCCTGATTGTTAAAGTTATCCACCTGGTTTATTTCTATTGGAGCAGTGTGAAGCAATCTTCTGGGAAGTTCGCTCTCACTTAGGTGTATAGAATTCTGATGTTGGGATTGGTTCGTTTGGACACTCTGCCAGGCTTAAAAGGAACCCTCCTAGAGGCAGAAGGAAATTCTCACTGCTGGCTGAGAGACACAAGAGACACGCACTGCTGAGAGAGAGAGATACTGAGAGACACACACTGCTGGGAGAGAGACTGTTGTCTGAAAGATGGCAGGCTGAGAGAGACTGAGTGTGTTCCGGAACTTGAATTGTAGTCTGTTGCTTCCCTAATAAACCCCATAATCTGTGAGTTCTGTTTGGCCACTGCAGTGAATTATTGAACCCAGCAGAGAGGTGGTGGGTGCTGTGGGAGGAACAGTTGGTGTCAAGGTTGGTGAAAGGGCTGGAAGGAGGCAGCATGTCTGTCCTCACAGGAATAGGCCTTGAGCTACTAGTGGTTATTCTGTCTTCCTCTTGTGGAGTTAGAGGGGGTCAGAAGATGCATCTTCCCTGCCCCTTTGTCACAGACACAACCTGAGTATCAAAGGACTGCTTTATAAAGTTACCCACCATTCCTACGACCTTCAACCACATCATGGAAATACCCTCTTCAGCCTGGAAGCCACTTTGGGAATTTCTCTGATCCTGTTTTGCCATTCACATTTTTTTCCTTGCATCAATACCGGGCTTATAATCATCCCAGTGAAATAATTCTGGAGCTAGAGTCATATAAACATCATACTTTGCAAAGAGAAGGCACCCAAAGATATGAATTTAGTCTTAGAAAAGGCCATCTAAGGAAAAATGGGAGTTCTGATGGTATAGTACCTAAGGCATTTAACTGCTAACAAGAGGGCTGGCAGTTCAAACCCACCAACAACTTCTTGGAAGGAAGATAGGGCAATCTACTTCCATAGTGATATCACCTCAGAAATCAAAGGAGGGGTCGCTGTGAGTTGGATACGACTTGACGGCAGTAAGCAAGCAAGCAAGCAAGCAAAGAGTAAAAATTGAAACACTGTACTGTGATGATTGAAGGTTTGCATTGACTTTTCTAGAAGAACTCCATTTCTTCAGGCCTTGCACTTTACTCTTCAATAGAGTTCATCCTCAGCCCTTTGTTCTCATCCCTTCCAGCTATGGTCATCTTTGGAGACCTCATCTTCTCTGTGAACTCAGCTGCCACTTGTGTGGTGACAGTGTCCCCATATGTAAACACAACATTCTTGGAGGGCAGCTGAACATTTTCACTGGCCTTTTCCTCAGGGCTTTCAAAGTCAGTATGACCCAGACTTAATTTATCCTATTTCTCCTGAAACTGTTACTTTCCTTGTGTTTCCTTTCTCAGTAAGTGAGAACTCTTGGTGAAGTCTAGTACTTCAACAGATTTGGGGCCCTCCTCATTGCTAACTCATGGTAACAAGCTAAATGGTCTGCTTCCCTCCATCCATTTCCTTTTCTCAGATAGAAGACATGTCACTTATTGACCTTTCTTCTTTTCTAAGTTCTTTTGTATAGGGACTTCTAACACTCTCCAATTGATTATGACAAGTCCATACAGACTTGTCCTTTGTATTTTCACTCTGAGAGATTCAAATGTCTTAATCACCCAGATGTAAGGAGTATGGTGTGCATCCGGCATTGCCACAGTGCTTTCTTGTAGAGGATCTACATCACCACTCATATCCCAAATTTTGAATCAACTTAGAAAAGGGCAAAAAAGGAAGATAAATGGGAGAGCAAAATATTACCTGTATAAATGAAAGAGCTAATATTAGAGAACTGATTCGTATTTGTGGGCTAAAAGGTTTTCATGTTCTGAATCACAGAATTTGACACTTTGCTTCTCTGTCACTGGCATTACTGCAGGCATTCAAGTCTGCCCAATGGACTGGGCCTTTACCCATCAGCTTAAAGCATGACCAAGAAAATCAAGAGCACTGAGGGCAGGCTTGCTCCCATGAGAAAGGGGGAAGAAGAAGGGCTGGGATTACATACTCAATTTTTCCCTCAAAACTGACCTGTTGTTAAAAACTTCTTAGTCTATAAATTTCAGGAAAATATTCCTCTCCTGAAATGAGCTATGAAGTTACTGACATTTCTCAAAATTCTGTGAACTCCTTTACCTATAACAGAGTATTGGAGGAGATTGAAAGCAAAGGAGCAAGACCTAATTCCTGGAGATGTTGGGGTCATTATATATTGTGATTGGAGAGGTGATTGTATATATAGGTATATACATTTGTCAAAGGACATTAACCTGTCTGTTTAAAATGTATTTCAATTTATGTGAATTATAATTCAATAAAATTTTTTAAATATTCTATGAGAGAACACTATCTTTTCCTTCCTCATTTTATCCTGGGGCTATGTAAAGATAACTGCTAGTTCACCTATTGTACCTCCCCTAGTTCGAGCCTTTATTATTGTTTACCTGAACTGCCAAGTTCTCTTCTATACTTACGGCTTTCAGTTTATTACTAAATGATATATATGGAAAATAGTATCCAAGCATTTTAAACGTAATGGTCTGTCTACACAGAAAATAAACTACTTGCTCTTTACTATGTGATTAAAAAAAAAAAAAAAAACCTACAATGAATGGCTCCCTGCTTGCCTATCCATTCTTGTCTATCATCACTTTCTCTCATGCTTTATACTGTACTGCTTGTAATTTCCACAATATCATACTGTTCCATACCTCAAGAACTTTCCTGTACCTGAAATAAAGATGGAGCTAGATAGAGATAGGTAGCCACCATTGAGTCCATTCTGACCCATGGTGACTTCATGTACACAGAACAAAACATTGCCTGGTCCTGTGTCGTCTGCATGATTGTCGGCATGTTTGAGTCCATAGTTAGAGCTATTGTGCCAGTCCATCACACCAGTGGTCTGCTTTGCCCTCACTCACCCTCTACTTCACCAAATATGATGTCCTCCTTCTGTGACTGATCACCACTATACAACAGACTGACAGAAAGTGGTAGAAAACAGTATTACCTCCACTCAACTCCTTTTTCTCCCTGTGATTTCTCCTCTTACAGAAGGCCCTATTTCCTTCCCCTCCAGAAAAATCTAACAGATGAATGTAAAACTTTGTGGAATAAGACATCTTCTACAGTGTATACAAAGCCTCTGCATATATTAAAATAAAATACAATATAGACAAACTTCTGGCCAATTTAATTTTAAAAAGAAATTGTGCAACATGAGGAATATTTAAGGACTTAGAACTATTGGCATCAAAGGTTAAATTAATTGTAAGTAAACTAATAGGAAATTTTACAAAAATAAATTTAGAAATATAATGAATTTTAGCAAATTAAAATAGGTTTAAGAATGGATAGAAAATACAGCCATATCTGTGATTAGAAAAAAAAAAATTATAGCTCTTAATGCTTATAGTAAAAAAATTTAGTTCAAGAAATTGTATCAGATTGGACTGAAAAGGACAGACATAGTACAAAGTAAGAAGAGTTCTATAGACCTTTAGCTTACAGTGGGCAGGGAATAGGATAACAAACCACTCAGCTATAATAACATGGGCTATTATTTTCCTGGAAAAGGAAAGATGATTCAGAATATGGACCCAAAAGCCCAGAAGACAGAGGCTTATTCCAGGGAGCAGGATTGGATCCTAATTAAGAAAAATAGCAACATGTGCTCAGATTTTAGAATTGTTGTGGACAAGGAATTTCTGTGTGACTGCTACGTATTCCACCTTTCTCAGTGGGAGTGTGTATTAGGGTTACCCTAACCCTGTATCACCAATGTTTATTGAGTATTTGTGGGAACAGATGTTTTGTATCTTTAGTTCACAGGTCTTCATATCAAGAGGGACTGTATTCAAGTAGTCGCACACAGTAAGCCTCATCCATACCTGAGTCTGCATTTGATATCAGGATGCTGGACTCAAAGCTGATGCTATAGGATGACATACATGTATATATATATATTCATATACATACACATATGACATATGTAATACATGTTTTAAAAAAAAAACATGGCCATCAAGTCAGATCTGACTCATAGCGCCCTTTCCTTGGATTTCTGAGGTAGTATCGCTACAACCTTCCTTCTGAGGATATATATATATATATAT